CATTAACCTATAACACTAAGCCTCCTATGGGATTAACCCCCTAACTACCCTCCAAATACTATGTCTTTCTAGTACTCAATTAGAGATTAAGTCCCCAACCTTGTACCTCACTCGATTGGTCACTTTATACATGCATGTCTCAATCTTCCCCATAAGCGATTTCCATATAAAACTAGAAGGGACAACTTAAAACAACTACCTATTTAGAAGCCAACTTGTTGAAGAATTCTCAACTTGGGCTCTTGGAGCACCACAACTTATATTCACACAATGAAATATTTTAATTTCTAAAACAACTTTTACTTTCCTCTAGTTTTGATGTATCTTAACAAAGACATGTATCTACATCACATGTCTAATAGCGTAACAATTCAATCAACTATAGTATCATACAACTTCACAACTTAATCATCTATTAACTCACAACTTTTCGGATCCATTTCTACTATTAAATCAGTCCTAGTTGTTCGGACAAATTATAATTTGAATTCTTATTCGAAGAGACATTCAGTTTAAAACAGTAAGCTAGTATTACTTTTTTCCCCCCATAAATATGATTCGATATAATATTATAAAATTGATAATAAAAAACTATTCTATATATATAAATGTGATTTTTAATATAGACGAGAATTAAATTTAAGAGTATTTGGTCGACTTCATATCCCTAAGCAAATTTTACAATAATAACTAATAAGTCTATAATACGTCTGCATGCTAATTAGTATTTTAACATGTACAAACATGATAAATATTATGTTTGAATATATATATATATATATATATATATATATATAATTAGTATATATAAATATTTTTAAATATATAAATTATATTTTATATTTATGATAAATAATAATAAATAAAATCAAAATAGATAGAAGTAAAAAATATATATGAAAAAATCTTTAAAATATTATCATGTAAGATAAAGATTCATTTTAATTTTAATATATAGAAGTAATCCTAAAATAGTGGGAAAAAATATAAATGTTATATTCAAAGAGATAAGAAGTTAAAAAAAAAATGAAATAAATATAAATGATATAAAGAGATAAACTTCAAATTTTGAAGATAAAATATATATTTTTAGTTACTACTTACTAGAAATTAAATTGTTTGTTTGATCTGAAATATATAAGAAAACTTACCATTATGATAGTGAAGTTCATGAGAGATAAGAAAATATGAGAATGAACCATAAAAGTTGAGTGTTGACAAAACATATAAGTAAACAATTACAATTAAAATTTGTTTCAAATAAATAATTTATAAAATATAAATTATATATTTTAAATTTATGATAAATAATTTATATTCTGATACAATATTATTTTTAATTATTGATAATTTTTTTAAAAAAATATTGAAAATGGTATATTTATAGATATAAGAGGTTAAAAATTATTGAAATATATATATATATATATATATATATGTGAAAATTTATATTCAAAGGGATAAAAGGTTGAAAATATTTAAAAGTAAACTTAAAAATGATGCAAAGGATTAATATTTGAATTTTGAAAATAAAATATATATTTTGTTTTGATATTCAATGACAATTTGTTAAACAATATATCGTTCCAGCAAGGTCAGGGGCTCGAATCCTGCCTTGTGTATGTAGCCGCGTTAAAACTTGGGGCCAGCTATCCCACCCTTTGAGGTGCCTCCAACTTAGCGAGGAGATTAGTCACTGCTATCGACGGTGGATACTCCAGGAACGAACAAAAAAAAAAATATTATTCCTTTGAAATAAAAATACAAAAGGCAGTTGCATATTAGAAAAGTAAAATTCACCTCTTCATAAAAGAAAAGTATTCAAATGAGTATGAATGTGAGGAAGTATGGAGATTGAAACATTTACAAAGAATATAATTATTCTAATATAATTATTTGTATAGAACGATATAAACCATTTACTAAAAATTGTCAATAGTTAAAAATAATCTTGGATCACAAAATAAAATGTTTATCATTAATATAAAATATAATTTATATGAAAGAATTCAAAATTATTATAAATTTTAGTTATTATATAATTTATATTTTAAAATATTTATTTCTTTAAATTTTAATTATATAAAATAAAAATATATCTTTTTTGATTGCATAAAATAAAATACTAGTTATTTGATAATTTGTTTGAAGAATTATTGAAATTCAAATTTTGAAATAAAATGAAAGAAGTTAGATCGAAAGAAGTTAAGAAGATCAAATATAAGGGTAGTTATAAAGTGATAGTTTGATATGGTTTTGAGATATTTTGTTATTTTGGCTACTTATAAGGGAAGGAGAAAAAATATTAACCATGTATCCCGATGAGAAATATACTTTCAAAGAAATGTAGAGAAAAAAATATTGAAAATGTTTGATCAAGAGAGTTAGGAAAAGAAAGTCTCAATCTCAATTGTGTGTTTTAATTTATAATATTATAAGAGTATCCTGGTGATAGTTTGAAAGATAAATGCATATGACATTTTTAAATAATTGTGTGATTATTAATTTTTAACCAAGATTTCTCACGTTTAATTAGGTATTTTATAATTTTACTCACATTCTTAAAATTGGTGATAATTATTTTTATTATATTTGAATACATTAGTCATATTTAAAATTTATATAAATAGATATTTTTAAATATATAAATTATATTTCATATTTAAAATAAATAATTTATATTATA